TTAGTTAATGATGATTGCATAGAATTCCATCAAGGTACCGTTCGACCTCATATTTCTTTAGTGGCTGGGCAAAAAACTGTGACAGCCTAATTGGATAGGCTTCACCGTATTCTCTAGCTATTTCCATTTAAGATTATCATTTATTACAGTCTTTACAGAAATGCCTGTATTGTCGTTTCAGTTCTATTAAAATATTCAAAATGCTGCTAGATGTGTTATTTGCTGAGGAAGATCAAACGTTCTGAGAGGAGAGTATTAGGAAGTTGCCTGAAAAATAACGGAATGTAGTGGAAGATAAGCTTCATTTAAATTAATGTTGAGTAGTTTTTAATTTAAAACAGAACATAAAGTTTTACGGAATTCAATAAAATCAATAAAGAATAATGGCCAAATACAGTTAAACAAATCATGAACTAATAAGAAAAGATGGAGGAAAATTTTGTAAACCGAACAATGATGTCTAACATTTTATTTGGCGATGTTTTGAAGTAGAAAAATATCAATTATGTTTATGATAATGACTTCAGGCTCATTTGTATTTTGATAACAAACAGAGTTTTATCCAAACTTGTATAATGATTCTAATTACTATCGTTAACAAAATGAATGCTTACTTAATAAGGGTGTCGCCCATGACGAAGAAAACTTTATTTATATAAAAAAAAAAATGTATGAAAATTACTAATCACGAAAAACGAAACTCTACATGTAAAACTGCCATAGGCTTATTATCTTCCTAATGATAGATATTTCAATTTTCCGGGAACCTGTGACAGCGAGCGAGTTGATTAAGTAACTCCCTAAACATTCAGAGCGGGAAATCTTGTTACTATTGAATTCATTACGTACACGCATACACACCTATATATATATACACATATACACAATTATTGAACCGATGGGAGAATTTTCATCTTATGGATTCGACCAATTTAAACGAAGATAGTTATAAATACCTTAATGATGTGATTAATTGATTGATTGGATTATCAAAGTTTTTGCTTTATTTAAAACCCAAATAAATTTCGGACTGTGAGAATAAATCCATTTTCTTTTTTCTTAATGAATATTGCATTAAGTATTTTATTTGAGAATAAAAATTATTTTGCTGATACATCAGGTCGAGAATTTTTCTCGGATTCTCCTGACTCGTTCTTTCAATCATCTCAGTCAGACATCGTTCTCGGCAGGTCCTCCATATGGTATCAAGAATAATCTACAAGTAGCTGTGATGAGGTCTTCCAACTGATCTTTTGCCGCGCAATGGGTTCCATAGCAGGGCGTCAGAAACATGTTCTGACTTATATTCTCCAGATATAATTATATACAATGTAATTGCTCCTGATCTAGCATCTCGTCTACAGTCATTTTCTCACAGACACGCCGTCGCTTCCATCTGTCATTTGTTCAAACACTTTCACGGTAACTTCTCCGACGAGCTACTTCGCTAGTTCACAAACTGCATAAATTTAACCGTGCTACTAGGTTGGCATCTGAGTCCCACCTTTTAATGTCGAAACTGTTAAATGTAGCTGTCTCTTCTACTAATTGTCTTGCACTTCACGTCTGTGAAACTCCCTTCCTATTACTTGCTTCTCTGATAGGTATAATCTTCAAATATTTAAAGTCCTTGATGTAATTCCTCATTTTTCTCTTCACCCTTTCCTCTATGACGCCTCTTTGCTCTTGTTCCCACTGTCTGGGGTGAAATGCTTAAAAAAAGAAGTATTGCATGATTCTGCCTAGAAAATGTATTCAGTGACTTAAAGCAATGAAAAGAATATCAAGTTCTTCTAACAATGTATCATCAACGAGAACATCGGGAAATCAACGATGTCTATTATGAGGAGGGAGAAGTTCATGTCAAGTTGTATCCGGGAGAATCCTATGATCAAGTCGAAGAGCTTACTTGACAATGTCAAGCACTTTCACGATAATATTGCCTTTGACTTTTAGTAATATCTCTTTTCCGATTAAAAAAAATTATGACCTATTAGGCCCTCGACTTCTTTGAGAGAGAGAGATCAGAAAGCCCGGCCACGATACCGCATTCTCAGTGAATGCTGTGATCGTGGACGCCAACTTTAACACCTGTTCAAAATATATAATCGTATCGAGACTGTTATATTGAAAAGACTTAACAGATTTTATGGATTAGTAAAAACTTTGCTGAACAAATGAATATAATTATATTTATTTACAAACAAGTAAACATGCAATTTAGCTTCCTATTATTTAATTTTATTCAATAAAACCACCACTAGCATCAATATACACGAGGTGGAAATCGACTGCAAGCTCTCATTAATTGGTCCTTATTTATGTCAGACATTACTCGAACGATTGCAGCTTTAAGGGAGTCTTTGGTGTTATTGGGGCTGTTGATTAACCTCATTCTCAACAACGCTCCACACATGATAGTCTAGTGGATTGAGATCTGGAGAGTTAAGAGGCCAAATGTTGGGTGTGATGTGGTCGTACAAATGGTCAGCCATCCGTTCTTGTGTTCGTAGAGCCTTGTGGCATGGAGCCAAGTCTTGCTGGAATATGTAAGGCCTGCCGTTGCATATGTTGTCAAACCAGGGCTTAACAACTGTTTCTAGAACCTCAATGTAAGCAGCAGCATTTACTCTAAGACCTTGTGGGAAAAAGTGTGGTGGCATAACATGACCTTCATTGCTAACAAAACCCAATACCATAACACATGAAGGAAATTTTGTGTGCATCACTCTTGGCACCTCAGAAAGATCTGAACAAAGCCATCTGTCATTTCTTCTGTTAAGTTTTTGATTTTGATCAAAATTCTTCTCATCTGAGAAAAAACAAATCACACCAGCTTCTGAAGGATTTTTAAGTTTGTTTAAAAGCCTTTTGCAACTGTTTAAACGGTTTTCTTTTGTTTTTTCAGACAAAAATTGACCTCTCTTCATCACGTAGGACTTGTATCGAATGTCTTCCTGAACACTCCTGATTGTTTTTTTCAGACACATGCAGCTTTTTGGCAGTTGACCTCATTGATTGACCTCGGTTTTCATCAATTGTCTGCTTGACTTCCTGAATAAATTCAAATGTTCTCACTTTATCAGAACGTGTAGAATGTCTTTTACGTTTTGATACAGACATTGGGGAACTGTCAGCATCTTCTAACTCTTTTCGTATCTTGTGGACAAACGATCTTGCAACTTTGAGGAAACGTGGAATATCCAAATCACTATGATCAGCCTTTAATGCCACAGTCACAGCATGCCATTTCATTTCATTCATTTGTTATCATAGGGTTTGATTTCTGAAAAATAAAAGCATTAGAAGTTAGTGGGAAGCAGTATTAATCTTAAATCTCTATGTCCTCAAATACGTGCCGCACAGTGTATGTGGTTTTCTCGGCTAAATAATACGATTATCACAAATTAAAATTGTTCTCAACGACCTGACGCAGGTACTTCTTTGAAATCTTTTCTGGTAGAGTAACACTAACGACAATATTATATCTTAACGATTTTTAAGGACAACAAAGCTGCATCAAAAATAGAGATGATATAAAAAGGACAATTACGCCTTAATTTCAGTTAATTTTTTCCCTTATTTTCATTAGTTGTGGCATGCCATTTCCTTGTTCCATAACGTTCTTATGATCCATCTAGTAAAAGCTGACTGCCTTCTTACAATTCCGTCCGTGTATTCAATTTTAATTAAAAAAAACGGGATAATTTGGGACTTTAATTTAAGCGCATCACCTGACAGCAGTTAATATTTCTTTTAATATTTTATTGATTGATTTGCCTTTTACAGGTTACAAAATATTTCAGGGTTACTTAAGGCAGACGAATATTTTGCATTGTAATAATAGCGATGTGTGTTGTGGTGCAATTGATGTCGTCTAGGAAAAGACATGGATCCATCTCTCTCCAGGTTAAATAGCAGGTGAGATTGGGTACCAATAACCATAGGGAAAGGTATGAATCAAACATTTCTCCCTCAAGCTATGGGTTAAATAGCAGGAGAGAATGGGTTCTAATATCCGTGGTAAACTGGTGAATCCATCTCATGTCCCTAAAGCTATGGGTTAAATAGCAGGAGATGCTGGATTCTGTAGCCCGTTAGACTGGTTGCCATCCAGTCTACCGTAGAAGGAAATGAAAACCTACTGCTTGGAAATCTTTTGCCTAGACGTGAGTCATCCAGGCATATATCACGTATGACACTTAACTAACTGAATAATAATTCATTATTTGCAATTATAGCAATAAAATACATTTTCCAGACACAAAACTTACTATTGAAACATAGAGTATATTGAACCATATATTTTCCAGGGGTATTTGTGTGTAGATGCATGCAACCAGCAAAGTTACAATTTGAACTTCTGATCCTTTTTTTTTATATTGAGTAGCTGAAAAAGACATCAACAACGCGTCCACTATTTCTTTTTTAAAACAAATTTGCAAAGAATGTATTTCCCAAAAAAATTTCTCTATGGAACAGATAATTATTTGAAATATTGTAATTATTTGTTGTTGTATTTTCTAAGTCAAATCGGATTATAGCGAATTATATATAAACTGGATCAATTTCGGCCAAAGACGAAACACTGATAGGAAGAACACATAAACAGATGTAGAAAAAAAAAGAAAAGAAAAACGTTAAGACCGAGTTAAATGCAAAGAAAATGAGAAATATTTGAAAAATCAATATCAGAGAATATAATAAATTTCGAAACTCCTTTCTTTTCTTTATATGTTAATGCATTCAAATTTAATCCCTGTTCTGCTCTCAATTTTTGATCTCCCTCATTGCATTATTCTCTTCTATGTTCCAGCGTTTCATTTTCAAAAGGAGTTGAATAGGCCCGTAGTACAGTGAGACATGTTAAACGACAATACATAATATAGCCTATACATGGAATTAAATATTTTGTTGGAATTTTCTTCAATGAACTTACAAATAACTGCAACAGTTGAAAAGTTAAAAAAAAGAAATGCAAGTAGATAAATAGATAAAACTAGAAATAGCCGGAAAGAAAGTGAGAGGAATAGAGAAAATGAGTAACAGAAAAAAGAAACGAAAGAGAGTGAGTGACAGAGAATAGATATAAGAGAACAGGTTTTGGAAGGAGAAACACTGAACATGCATAATATATAAAATGATGTAAATATATTTTATGGAGGAAAGAAAAAAGAAAGTGATAATGAGACGCAAAGAAAAGAAGAAAATTTACGCATGCGCAATCCAACGTACATGGAGAAGAAGAGTGGTATTAGCTCAAGCATCAGAGAATGAATTGAGACATGGTGGAGTAATGGATTGATGAATCGGAGAGCCGAGTTCGAATTCCAGTTGAATCCATTACATTCACTTACGTGCTAATACCTATGGGAAAGGGTATGAATCTTCTTCTTTTCCCGAGGGTAGATAGCAGGACAGGCTAGGCTCTACAGCAGAAAGAAATGTCAGCCTACAGCGGGAAAGAAATCTGCTTCTTCAGTCATGTATCGAGAGATACGTTATCGCCTAAGCGTGTATCAAGTATGGCACATAACTGACCGATGACAGGCAGTGTCGGAAGGAGGGACGTTGTCAAAAAAAAAAAAATCCAAAATTGAGTTAAAATAAATCGAAAGATGAAATGCAACTTTACAAAAGAAGGACAGCGAAAAAATAGAAACGTTACATCATGTGAGAGAAAGACGTAATGAAGGACAGAAGATAAAAAGAAAAGTATGTTAACGATAGTAATTATTTATTTTTTTTGTGGTTTGCTGGTGGGTATCAGCATTTTCTGGGTTATTTACATTTAAAACATACTTTGGATTTCTCATATAATATATTAAGAATGACAATAAGTTTTTCACACACTAGTCACGAAATTTAACCCATAACTATGAGATATGAATTCATGCCTATCAAACAGTCCTGGGTATGACGATATACTCGGGAGGTTTTTAGGGCGTGGAACCACCTCTTTATTTTTGTAGCTCCTACGTCCCCTTGACCCGGGCTGGTAGCACCTCTTAGAGTCCCAGCTTTGGGCATATAGTTAACGCCCAAGGTGGGCTCAAAATAATAGGAAAGAGTTGAAATATATTTTTATAGTAAAGATGCCAGCAATACAAATTCATAGTGAAAATATAACCAGCAATACATTTTTGTAAGGAAAAATATTACCAGCAAAATATTCTTTTAAAGATATTACCAGCAATGCATTTTTGTAAAAGAAATTACTAATGCTACCAAGAAATTTACATTTCTGTATTAACCCATTACCTGCCATGAGCCCCATTTATGGGTCTATTAAAATTAAACTGACATGTTATTTCTTGTATTTACATTGAATTGCTTATATATACTGCATTTTCATATGTATATATTACAACAATTATCCTTTAAAGTTATTATTTTTAGCCGTAAGAAGACATTTTTTGTCTTATTTTTACATTTCACAAGTAGAAAAATAATGACTATTTGAAAAGTATTTTTTAATATTACTAATCAATATTATTTTTTGATGTTTTATACACATATATATTTGATGATCTTGTTTCTAAAAAAATGACACTGGTAACTACTGAAATTAAACATAAGGAATAAATAAACTTCAAAGACACCGATCTGGGCTAAAAATGCGGACTTAAAACATTGGCAGTTAATGGATTAAATAACACATAAGGAGTTGATATGCCGTTAAACATACTCAGATGACTATCAAAGGATATTTATTCAAAATCTAAAGAACTCAGCCGAAATTCGAACTCGGTTAACCGATTTCTGATTTCGAGCTGATATACATTCAACCGCCCACTCATCGGGATTTTGTTGAACACAAATTTAATAAGTATGAAGTATAAGTATAAATATAGTATAAAATAATATTTCCATTAAATATATATATATATATATATATATATATATATATATATATATATATATATATATATATATATATATATATATATATATATATATATATGTGTACATATATATATAGCCCTTACAAGAAAATGATTGTGTTCATACAGAACTTCTGGATGTTTAAAGTGGATAAACTCAATTCAGTATATGTTCTTTGTATTACTGTAAGAGTTGTTTTTCTATTGTTTGCATTATTTTTTGGTATGGGGTGAACAGACTTTGGGACCAACTTGTAGTTCGACGTCATACCCTGCACTACTGTTAGATTCTTCTCAAGTAAATGACTCAAAGTATAAGCTTTTGACCGGGTATTTGAAGACTCGGGTATTAACGCGCCCAGTATCTATTTCTTAAAAACTTTGGTGTAAATAGCACATAATTTTACTTATGTATTAATTCATTATGATGCGATATTAAATAATGCGTTTTTATGAGGTTTAATTAACCAACATAACATAACTAATCGATGTAGGTTTGCTGCCTTCTAGCCTGAGATTTTCCAATTCCTTTTAAATTGACAAGAATTGTTGATTCACATATGCATTTGCCAGTTTGTTTTTAAAGTTAACGCATATGTCCATCAAATCGATTTAACAACGTGATCCCTATCAAATACCAAAACAGAAGTCTTATTAATCTCTACCCATTAATTTAAACCAACTTCCCTTCTCGTTTGCTGCTCAGGGGGGAAGCTTTTTGGAATTATTTTCTAAACATACTTTTCAGTAGAAACAAAAAAATACCTTTACATTCGCAAGCGTTTTAATTATTTTAAATGTCTCCATCATGTCTGCACACATCCTAACGTTAGTGCAGTGAATATCAATTTACCCATTCCTTCATCTCAGAATTGTTTAACATTCGAAGCCCACTCAGTGAGAGATGACAAGAAGAACTGCAGAGATATTTATAAAGAGAGAGAGAGAGAGAGAGAGAGAGAGAGAGAGAGAGAGAGAGAGAGAGAGAGAGATGTAGAATTAGCAT